CATCTCCAGATGCCAACTAAAGCTCTATCATGCAAAAAGGAAGCCATATGTGAACATGGTCCAGAAGCGCCGCCGTGTCCTGTGGGCCAAGGCTCATTTAAAATGGACTATTTCAAAGTGGAAAAGTATTCTATGGTCCGACGAGTCCAAATTTGACATTCTTGTTGGAAATCACGGACGCCGTGTCCTCCAGGCAAAAGAAGAGGGAGACCTTCCATCGTGTTATCAGCGTTCAGTTCAAAAGCCAGCATCTCTGATGGTATGGGGGTGCATAAGTGCATACGGTATGGGCAGCTTGCATGTTTTGGAAGGCACTATGAATGCTGAAAGCTATAAAAAGGTTTTAGAGCAACATATGTTCCCCTCCAGATGACGTCTATTTCAGGGAAGGCCTTGTGTATTTCAGCAGGACAATGCAAAACCACATACTGCAGCTATTACAACTGCATGGCTACATCATAGAAGAGTCTGGGTGTTGAATTGGCCTGCCTGCAGTCCAGATCTTTCATCTATAGAGAACATTTGGCGCATCATTAAACGAAAAATGCGTCAAAGACGACCACGAACACTTCAGCAGCTGGAAACCTATATAAGGCAAGAATGGGACCAAATTCCAACACCAAAACTCCAGACACTCATAAACTCGATGCCCAGACGTCTTCAAACTGTTTTGAAAACAAGAGGAGATGTTACACCATGGTAAACACGCCCCCGTCCCAATTATTTTGAGACCTGTAGCAGGCATCAAATTTGAAATGGGCTCATTTATTGGATAAAAGTGTAAAATTTCTCCGTTTAAACATTTGTTATGTTATCTATGTTCTATTGTGAATAAAATATTGGCTCATGTGATTTGAAAGTCTTATAGTTTTCATTTTATTAAAATTTAAAAAACGTCCCAACTTTTCCGGAATTCGGGTTGTACATGCTCGGTTTTATTGTTAATTTAAGTTGGGGTAGAATTAAATGAACTGTACAACTCAGCATTTTGTTTGCGTACCTCCTCTGTCACCTCACGTACCCCCAGGGTATGGGTATCCCAGTTTTGGAACCACTGGCCTAAGGGGAAAAAATCAGTCTTCCTATTTAGACCAACACATGCTAATTATTTTTCCAGCTATTATTTTTATGGGTGTCTGTCCTCAATGCAAAACGTTGGTTTAGCATCATGGGTTCTGTTGACATAACTCTGGATGTATTTTGTGTGACCTTGTCAACATGTTCTTTGAAAAATCATTTTTCTATGCAAGCTGCTTAAAAATAACAAATAATCAAATAAATGGCAATTATATTTGCCTATAATGTTTACTGCTTATTTAAATAAAAATAGTTAAAACATTAAAATTGTGAAATATTATTACAATTTAAAATAACTGTTTTAGACTATATATTTTAAAATGTAATTTATTTCTGTGATGGCAAGGCTGAATTTTCAATGTAAATCCAGTCTTCAGTGTCACATGATCTTTTAGAAATCATTCTAATATTCTGATTTGGAGCTCAATAAACATTTCTTATTATCGTCAATGTTGAAAACTTTGTGCTGATTATTGTTTTTATGTAAACTAATGTTTTTTTTCAGGATTCTTTGATGAATAGAAAGTTCATAAGAACAGCATTCATTTTAAGTAGATAATTTTTGAAAGATTATTAATGTTTTACTGTCATTTTTTATCAGTTTAATGTCATTGCTAAATAAAAGTATTTATTAAAAATATATTATATTAAATACAAACTTAAAAGAATATTACAGGTTTGTAGGTTACTCTGTAATACCTAGCACAGCACATTTTGTCTTAAAGTGATAGTTCACCCAAAAATGGAATTAAATTAATGGAATTAAATTCAATTCTGTCATCATTTACTCACCCTCAAGTTGTTTCCAACCTAAATAAAAAAAAAACTTCTCTTTTGCTGAACACAAAAGAAGATATTTTGAAGAATGTTGGTAACCAACCAGTTGCTGGACCCCATTTACTTTCATAGTATGGAAGAAAAAAATAATCAATGGCAGTTAATGGGGTCCATCAACTGTTTGGTTACTGACATTCTTAAAAATTTCATCTTTTGTGTTCAGCAGAAAATAGAAATTCATACATGTTTGGAATAACTAAGAGTGAGTATTTTTGGTGAGTTTAATTTTCGGGTGAACTGTCCCTTTAAGCCTGAAGAGTTTGAGTGAATTGTTTTACATTCCTACACACTTGACTCTTTTTATTTATTTATTTATTTTATCATTTTTCTCTGTTTGTATAGAGCACTCAGTATGTAGATAAACGCTGGTCCTGTGAGCTGTTCATCCTGGTGTCCGTCAGTACTTCTGTCATTCTGATGCGGCACCTACTTCCTCCCCGTTACTGCGACCTGCTCCACAAAGCGGCTGCGCACCTGGGCTGCTGGCAGAAGGTGGACCCCTCCCTCTGCTCAAACGTCCTCCAACACATGTACGTCTGACCTGGGGTCACTGCTGGGGTCATAGAAATGTCAAAGGTTTAGGTTGTGTTAGAGCTTTTTGTGCGTCTTTGTTGGATTTTGGTAAATATAATAGTATAGCAGGTGCTGACCGATTGATTCCATATGCTTTTAAAGAAAGAGCCTAATTTTAGTGAAGTGCTCAGTTCTTGGTCACACCCTTAAAAGAATGGCTGCATTGTGTTGCATGTTTCAACATGTTCATTTTATCTCGGGTGTTGGCATCAACAACAAATTTATTTATAGCACATTAAATGAATTTGAAAACCAATATGTTTTTAAACATGAACATGTATTGGTTTTCCAAATGTACACATAGAGCATATTTATCTTGCTATATTTGTTACTTTTATTTTTACTACTGGCACAAGATGGTTTTTTTTTTTACCCTTTTCTGTTTTACTAAATTAACATTTTCTCATTTAATTATTATTATTATTTAATTTGTTATTTGTTTGCATATAATATTGATAAATCGTGTTATAAACCTTTGGTGCAATGTGTTTGCTTTTGTTTGTAGACTGTAATCTCTTTCTTTTGCTTTTTCCCCCTACAGATGGACAGAAGAGTACATGTGGCCACAGGGAGTTTTAGTAAAACACAGTAAAAATGTTTATAAGGCCATGGGCCATTATAACGTAGCAGTTCCCTCAGATGTTTCGCATTATCGTTTTTATGTAAGTATAAACTATAGCCGAACTCTTAAACAAAAAGTGCTTTGTTTTTGCTGTTTGCTGACTCATCAGAATGAATGTCAATGTTATTAGAAATATTATTCCAAAGAATGTATTATGTATTTTTCATGGGAATAATATTGCAATAACCACTGTTGCCCTTCTTTTTTCCTCTCTCCTAACAGTTTTTCTTCAACAAACCACTTCGAATATTGAACATTCTCATAATCCTGGAAGGTGCAATGATATTCTACCAGCTATATTCACTGATGTGTTCAGAGAAATGGCATCAGACGATATCATTAGCTCTAATATTATTCAGTAATTATTACGCCTTTTTCAAACTGCTCAGAGACAGAATAGTTCTGGGAAAAGCATATTCGTATTCATCCAGTGCCTCTAATCAGAAAGTCAGTTAGACAAGCGTAAATTATTGTCAGTCATCACAGATGAGCAGAAAACATGCATGAGAGCTGTTTATTTTTTCTACAAGTGCATTTTTTTTTGTCTGTTTATGTTCTGACTTGCCATGAAATAAAAAGGAAACATATTTTTATATTAAGTCTGTTTCTCTGAAGTTTTTTTTATTTATGCACCACTTCTTACATGGCTGTCATAATCATCTGACATAATCAGACACAAATGTGTTACTAGAATTCAAATATTTTTATTTATTTTGAAATCAATAAGCCCTAGATTTGTCATCATAATATTTCTCAGGTTCTGGGACCCAGGAATAAACTTTTGTCCACTGTAGTGGACATTATATTTTAGTCAATTTCTGACACTATACACAGTTTTACAGTCTGGATGTCCTGTAAAGAGCACATTCAGGGCTTTTCGGAGATACCAAATGTTAGGTTTCACCATGACAACAATTTCTCCTTGGTCTTTAAAAATGGCTGACATTAATTTAGTGATCAAATTTTGCAGTATTATGGATCATATTTTAAATTATCATTTGAGTCTGACAAATTTTCAAAATTTTTGTCATAAATATATATAATATTCTTCCTATGAAATAGGTATTATTGTGAAAATGTTGCCAATTATTCTCCCATTATTTATATTACAATTCTTTTTTCATTACATGTTCCCCTAAAGAATACATTTAAATTAGATACAGTGTATTGAATGGGACTACACATTTATGGCCATTTTACCCACATATTGCATAAAGTAAAATGGTATGTCAATCCATTCCGTTATATCTTTCATAACATAGTTGAGAATCATCTTTATACACAGGTTTGATTAAAAAAAATCTTGAAACCTACAAATTGATTGGTGAAACATTTTTTTTTTTTTTTTGCCTGTGTCCAGTACAGTGGACATAGCATAACATATTAATAAAAAAAAAATTCTTATAATCTAAAACAATGTAATGATATGGACAATAAATACTAAATTCAAACAACTTTCTTTTCCTGGACCTGAGGATATCATTTATCGTTACTGTACCACAATCGCCTTTAGATGGCGACACACATATCTCAATGGCTACAGATTTCGGTCAACGGTTGACTATGCAGAAATTCATTATAGAGCCATTTTTTGTAGTATAATGGCATATTAAAACACGTTGTATAAATAGCCAGTTGTGTGGTTGAGGTTTTAATAGTTAGTGTGATGCTCCGTGTCTTTAAACGAGAGCTTAGCTTGCATCCTATTGTGACCACTTTCCTAGTATGGCGAAGGTTTAACTCATGAATAATAATGTGGTTATTTTGACGTTGCTTTTAAGCGTACCCATTGTTGAGGCTCGGCTCTTGAATATTAATTATGTAGTTAGGACGCTTCTTCCAATAGCGAAAGCGCATCTCATGAATATTAATAACCAAGCTTCACCATAGTACGAGTTTCAGAATCGCGGTCGGGAAGTAGAAGACCAAGCTTGGAGAGCTGCCGCTGGAAACAGCACGCACTTTTAAAACGGACCGCGTATAAATCATACGTCATTGGAATGGAAAAACCAACACGGGCGTCTTAAATTTGCGTTGGAAAGCTCAAAGAGCCCCATCCTTATCCGCCAGCCGGTGAGTAAATCGTTTTGTTTAGCCATATATGACGATGTGCGCATCGCGTCTCATGGGGTATCCTGTGCAAATCCTTTCCATTCTGTGTAAAAGCTCTTCCCCAAATGAAAAATGCAGTAGATCTCGCATTGGTAAACATACTCATAAGCTACAATTCTATAATTTCAAAAAAAAAAAAATGGAGTAACGTTATCGCGTAAAAAATACGTAATGTAGCCTAATGTAAAGTGCATTCATTAAAATGAGGTTTTGACCCAGATTATTAAGTATTTACTGGCAAATTAATGAATAATCCTTCATCTGAATGGCTATTATAATACATAATATACAAGTATGTACAATTCATATATTCATCATTCATATATTTTATATAGAATTTTCTAGATTCTTATTTAGAATCCACCATTTATATGGAATTAATGGTGGGCAGGAACATACAAATTGCTCAGAAATTAATTTATTGCTTTTTTCCAACCTATTGGGTTTAGGTTTAGGATTAAAATAATAGGCCCTACAGTTTAATGCTTTTCAAAATATTGCTTATATTTTCAAAAAGGTCATTGATATTCTTAAAGCTGCCATGTTACTTTTATATACAGATGGTTGAATTGATGCCAGAGTGCAAGAAACCTGACCCGAGTAGTTGCAATTTCTAAGAAAAAAACTTGATAACAAGGTATTCTTTACACAGGGTGAGAAACAGAACAGGAGAACAAATAAACCAGAAAATGGCAGAGAGGGTTACTTTATCCATAAGAACCAATCTATAGTTTTGGTGGAGAATTGAAACAACCCCATAAACCCCATAAAGTTAGGATGATTAGAAGTATGATTTCATATATACATTTACCAATGACATTTATCAAGCATGTTACCTCTGATATTGTTATTTAACTTCATGCAGTCACACAAAACATTGAATTTTCTATTCCATCTGTTTGCAGCTCAAGGTCAGACATTAATAATTGCTAAATGTTTAACGCAGGCTCTCACTGACCTGCTGTAATGATTGAAATCTGTTCGCTTCAAAGCTGAAATTGACTTGAGTTCACTGATACCAACTGAACTGGCATGTGACAAACCTTCATATTTGGGGCCCCCACAGTATTTAATTTATCTCTGTAATTTAGGCCCTTATTTTTATGTAATGCTCTTGTTTGCCTTCCCAACCAAAACAAAGCAGAAAGAGCCCGAACATGTACCTTTCCCATTAAAAAAGTAGATAGCTAATGCTTTAGGATGATGTTCAGTTCAATGGTCAGGTAACACTCTTTCATATAACAATATTTTTACAAATCCATTCAGTGACTCTAAAATAGAAATAACACACTCTACCTTTACCTTTTTGACATCATGTTTTATTCCACTTTAGAATAAAAGCCCACACTCTTAAAAATAAAGGTTCTTTATTGGCATCTATGGTTCCATGCAGAACCTTTAACATCTGTGTAACATTTCCATTGCAAAGGTTCTTCAGATTATTAAAATATTTTCACACTAAGAAAATAAATTGTTCCCTGAAAGGTCATTTGGAGTGAGGTCCAAAAATAGTTCTTCCCAAGCTAGCAGGGAATGTTCAAGGTTCTCTCAAAGTTATAAACAAATGTTTTTTCCAGTAACATTAATAGAATGTTTGTTCAAAGTTGTTTAGTCTTAATTTATATTCTCAAAGCGTTAGCACAAAAAATCATTATCTTTTCATCATTAATGCATTTTTTAAAAACATTTTTGTTGGATGTTCGTTTAACATTTTAAATGTTACTACTTGTTTCAGAATGTTCTTTGAACATTCAAAAGTAATGTTCCCATAATGTTTGCAAAATGGAATGTTCCCTTAAAGGCTTAGTTCACCCAAAAAAGAAAATTACCCTATGATTTACTCACCCTCAAGCCTAGGTGTATATGACATTCTTCTTTCAGACAAATACAATCAGAGTTATATAAAAAAATGTCCTGACTCTTCCAAGTGCATCCATCCATGATAAAAGTCCTCCACACGCCTCAGGGGGGTTAATAAAGGCCTTCTGAAGTGAAGCGATGCGTTTGTGTAAGAAGAATATCCATAGTTAAAACTTTATCTACTAAAATAACTAGCTTCCGGCAGACAGCCGTACGCATCGATTTACTGTGGAAGAGTGACCCTTGACCTGACGCAGAATGCAATGACGAACACGGAAACACAGAGGATAGAGCAAAACAAAACAAAATGTTTTAAAGAGAAATGTCGGAGGAGCTTGAGTTTGTTGCCCAGCCCTGTTTGAACCACGAGAGGCGTCTAAACTTACGATACTCCTACATCCTACGTCATACATGCGTCACGAGTTACTCTTGTGGAGGACTTTTATCATTGATGGATGCATTTTCATGGACTTCATAACAGAAACAGCCATTCACTGCCATTATAAAGCTTGGAAGAGCCAGGACATTTTTTAATATAACTCCGATTGTGTTTGTCTGAACGAAGAATGTACGGAAGAATACCGTATGCCCTTCGTCCATAAAATGGCAGTGAATAGCGACCAGCATTAATCTTTTTTTTTTAAATGCAAAAGTATCACAGAATGATCACATGATGCAACACTTGTTGTATATTCCATGTGTTCTGGGGTCGGAACTCCGTTGGCAGATGTGAATGCGATAACTTCTTGTTATGTTGAACACAACGGATACATTCACCTCGATGGATGATGGATTGTATTTCTTATCCTGTTTTTGTTAATCTTGATTTCCCACAACGTGTGTGCTTTTTCTAGGCGAGACGGAGTGAACTGCAGTGCTAACAGAGTCAGAACAAGCATGTCATGTAGCCATGCATTGAAGACTAACGGCCAAGATTAGGATTTTCGTTAAATAATAATAATGTTGTTCATATCGTATACTCCCAGATCACTTGAAATATATGACACGTGTTGCATCCTTCTGTGATTCCTTTGCATCTTTTTTAAAAAGCTTGATGCTGGTCGCTATTCACTGCCATTATATGAACAAGCACGAGTGGGATTCTTTTTTTTTTTAATTCTCCTTTTGTGGTTCTTAAAATAAATATGGCATTAGAACAACACCAGGGTGAGTAATTTTTGACTACATTTTAATTTTAGGTTTCCTTTCCCTTTAAGAGTGCAGGATCAGATCATGTTGTATTTCCTACATCTCAATGGTTGAAAGCTCTTGTCTATGTGTCTTAGAAAGTGCCAGTGCCCTCATGGAGGACAAGAGGAAGAAAAGGAGTCCCAAAGTGTCGCTTCCCCATCCCCCTCCTCCACCAATCAACCCTCGAAAGCTCACCGTTCTCCCGGCGAGCAAGAGCGCCACATTCTCATTGGGTCTGCCCCATCCTCCCTCCCCCAAACCCAGGGGAAAGTGCAAGAGATCGGTGGGGGCAATGGGTCCATCTAAAGAAGCTCTTGCCGTTCCTGTGGTTCCCCCTAAAAACACAAGGTTTGTGTGCGTGTTCTCCTAAGTTTGATCTTTGTGTTTTTATTCGTCATTTAAAAATGGTGCCACAAAATAGAGTCTAGTAGTGATTCTGGTTCTATTTGTACCGATACAGGCCTCACAGAGAGAAGCCCAGAGCTCCTCAGCCCGCCGGACCTAGTCGCGTGTCCCAGTCCTCCTCACCGCTCCAGCACTCATTCCTCACCGATGTCTCCGATGTGAGAGAGATGGAGGGAGGACTGCTCAACCTGCTCAACGACTTTCACTCTGGAAAACTGCAGGCTTTCGGTATGACACATGTGCGCTAGGGTTTTATTCAGAAGCTTTAATAGTTTGGGCTGTAATTAGAAACGGTTGGCAGTTTTAATTGTTGGGACATTTTTGAGGAATGCAAAGGTGTGTAAGGGTGGCACATTTACACCACCTAATTCATCAGTGAGTTGATAATAATAATAATAATAATAATACGTTTTATTTATATAGCGCATTTCAAGGGCTCAAGGAGGATTTACAATGAACAAGCAACAATAATAGCAATGGACAATGATAACAAACAAACAACAGTAGGTAGATGAGAGTAAAAGTACAGTAAAGGAGAATTGTGTAGATGGGGCAGCATACAGTAGAAAACAATCAGACACAACGAAATGTAATACAACTTAAGAATGGTGACATTCAGAAAATAAGTGAGTTTTTGAGCATAGTTAGTTTTAAATTCAGAAATAGTATTAACACAACAGAGTGATTGGGGGGGAGAGTTCCATAGTTTGGGTGCAATAGCACTGAATGATTGCGCCCCATTGAAGCTAGGCGATGCCGAGGGACAGCGAGAAGGCTAGAGTCAGAGGATCGTAGAGAGCAAGTCGGGGTGTAGGGGTGGAGCAGGTTACAAAGATAGGGGGAGGCCAAGCTGTGCAGACATTTAAAAGTGAGCAGGAGGATTTTGAATTTAATACGATAAGCCACTGGAAGCTAGTGAAGATCGTACAAAATTGGGGTGATATGGGCAGAACGCTTGGTGTGGGTAAGTATTCTAGCAGCAGAGTTTTGAATGTATTGCAATCTGGAAATGGAGCTACCAGATAGACCAATGAAAAGGGCATTACAGGAATCAAGACGTGATGTGACAAATGCATGGATGACAGTTTCAGCGTCTTTGATACTGATGAAGGGACGGAGCTGGGCGATGCGACATAGATGAAAGAATGCTGATTTAGTGATAGAATTAATATGAGCCTGGAAAGAGAGAGAGGAGTCAAAGATTACACCAAGATTTTTAACAGTACTAGATGGTTTGATGTGAGAGCCAGCAATCTCACAGATGAAATTGGTAAGAATTTTGCTAGTGAGTGACGGATGTCCAGTAAAAATAATCTCAGTTTTGTCCATCTTAAGTTTTAGAAAATTTTAATGAATCCAATCTTTTATTTCATGCACACAAGCAGAGATTTTGACGGTTGTCACAGATAGAGCAGGTGTACAGATGGTATATAATTGGATGTCATCAGCGTAAAAATGATAATTAAAACCATGACAGTGGAAGATCTGACCAAGAGATATTATGTAAATTATGAATAATAATGGCCCGAGAACGGATCCCTGGGGTACACCTTACTTCAGGGGGACAGTAGGTGAGCGAAAATCTTTTACTGAAATGTAGAATTGTCTGTCAGAGAGATAGGAAGAGAACCAAGAAAGAGCAGCACCACAAACACCACAAAGCACTTAGTTGTGAAAAAGAAGAATTTTTTTTGCCCAAAGCATGTTGATACTGAGGAAATGAGAGCCAATAACAAGCAAAAAAAAAAAAAAAACACTTGATATAGATTTGCGAAAAACAGAATTTGCGAAACAGATTTGCGAAAAACCCCCCCAAAAAAAACAACCTGATATAGATCTGCTTTACGAGTCTAGTAAGGTACTATCTCAGTTTCTATGCGTATAACACGGTGTGTTTGCAGGTAAGGTGTGCTCCTTTGAGCAACTAGAGCATGTGAGGGAGATGCAGGAACGTCTGGCCCGGCTCCATTTCAGTCTGGACAGTCATGTGGAGGAGCTGTCTGAAGACCAGAGAAAAAATGCTTCGGACCGCAATCTTGAACACCTGCTTTCTAACGTGAGACATTAATTCACCTCATTTTATCATCCAACTCTTGTAGGGCTGCACGATTAATTGAAATAACACAGAAATCGTGATATGGCTTTGTGTGATTATCAAGTGGAAACGAATGAAATGAAAATATGTGCTACGTGTTTCAGAGTAAAGCGCAACGCTGAGCTCAAGATTCAGTGTTTTCAGTGTCTTTTCAATAAATTCTGCTCCATGCGAACTCATCCCTGCATCCACCGTTTGAGTCATGTATAACCTGCATTTAGGAACGCCACATGCACCACCCATCTTCCAAAAAAACAGCTGTTGTCAACCAAGCACAACAAACTTGGAACTTTTATTTTAAATTCTAATCACAATTTTATTTTTTTCTTCCAAATCGTGCAGCCCTTAATGTCTTATGCATTCATACCGAAGCTTAAACCACGGACATTTATTCTGCTTTCACGTGCAAATGTATATTTGTACCTTACAGTAGACACACACATTAGTGGAATCTGGATTGACTGGATATGGAACACCAGTCTGTTTGTTCTCTCTCCACTATTCAAGCACTCTGAGCGTCTCTTACACACAAATACTCAAGGACTGGACACAATAATACCCCGTATCTCAATACAGGCCTGTGGCTGAATCTTGTATTATTATCCAAGTCCAAGTGTCGCTCTCTGACTGAATTCTTTCATCAGCCTGTGAAGGGCTGGACAGTTACTATTGATAGTATTTCCCTTCTAGCTGTCAGCTCAGTGGTATGTGCTAGAGAGCCCAGAGTGTGTGAGAGAGAGTGTGTGAACTGTTTCATTATTGATGGTTCACTCAGTATAACAGAGTGTATTTGAATCTTATAAAAACGAGTTCAGGTTACTTTTTATCCCACTTTTTTTTTCATTAAGCTTGTTTTAGGACTATTAAGACTTTTGCATTTTGACAATAATTTCATCAAGCACATCCCCTCCACTCTCCGTCCATAATGCAATATTTTACTTATAAATTTGTCTAAAATTCCCATTATTATATCAGCAGCATAACAAATACTACCATGATATATTTTACAATTTAAATAATTGTCACATAACGTGGTATATTAGAAACTTGCACGACGAGGAATAATTCCAGGAAACAGACTTCACAAACACTCAGGAACCAGGAAAAACGCAGGGGAAAACCACACAAACATTAACAACACCGAACCATAAACAGGAAACACAGAGCTTAAATACTAATGACATAAATGAGAGAACAGGTGAATGACATAACGAATTAAACAGACTGGGGAGAACTAGGTCACAGGACTAAACATAGGAGACAGACCATACATGTAACGATAATACATATTTATTTATTTACAATGTTAAATTAATACAATATGTATTTATTAATTTATCTATTATTGTGTTAAAATAATGCCATAGGGCAAAACATTTAATGGTCCTAAAAGACTTATTTTTAAGGAATATAAGATTTCTTTCTTATTATTTTAAGGTAAAATATGACTTGGACATGGATTCACCCATTTATTACAAAATTGATGTCCAAGAATCCAGAATCTTATTGGTGTTTATAACAAGCAAAAATAAAAGTAGATATAAAATATTTAGGATTTATTAAATTAGTACTGTTAGGGCATGGTGTAAAGAAGAAAAGCTTTTCTGCAGTGCAGTTCGTAATTTTTTAAAAAGGACAGCGTGTACTTCACAAATCAGTTTTTGTCAACATACAGGCTGAATTACAAAAATAATCAGGATTTGTTATTGTCTGAAGAAGTCTTCCTCCTGCTATACTGACTCTTTCAGCTCAGCAATTGTAGATTGGTCTTTTTAAAGCAGCAGCAAATTATATTGATTTTTTAAATGCATCTCTGTTTTGTCCCATATAGCTGGAAGAATTGAGCAGCTCCATGTATCCTTCCACTCTATGGTTTGTATGTGTTGTACATTGCAAGAATTATAAAATACAATGTTTATTGACTTTTAATCTTAATCAACTCTCTCTCAAGTAAAATATATTGTGAAAAAAATGGTGTTTATCCAGACAGGGTTTGTGTTAGACTGAAAGCTCTCAGTGTTCTCAGCTAAGCACTTAGTTTTAGTTTCAGTAACTGTAGGGATTGTGTTTCTCAAAACATCGTAGATCAGGTGTGTCCTAATGGAAGCCAGATAGGTACATGCATTATATGTGCAGAAAGAATACTGGAGTCAGCATGTTTATATGTAATAGGACCTCCAGACCTTGTACATTAGATGTACATTAGCAGCGCATATCTCCTTAATGCTGTTTAACCAGACAGAAACTCCACCTGGCGGAAAATCAAGACTTACCCAAGACCTCCAACACCTGAAGCAAGAAACCAAACCCAGCCGACCATCAAATCACTGTGCAGACCAAAGCCCAAGTTGCCATGGCTACAACTCAACTGCAAGTTAATGAGCGCCATCATCGTGATCCGTGACTAACGCAATGCTAAGTGACGGCAGCAGCATCAAAGCACATTCTCCATGTGAATGAAATTCAACAACAAAAAAGGCACTTCTTGTTTGTCTAAATATTTTATTCTTTGCATTTAACAATTCCAATGATTTTGAGCCTGAAAGCCATTTTTGTTAAAGTGTTTAAATTGGGATAAATAGTAACTGTACTTACTTTAGGGTTTGAATGAGTTGATTCCACTCACTTAAACAAGAACAGACTTTAGAAACCTGAGATCTAGAATTATTAGATCAACCATGACAGCAGTGAAGGAGAAGATTAACACTTGCTTTATTCGTCAACCAGCACATACACAATGGATTTTCTTTTTGTTATCGGTCGGTGTTCTCTGGAATGATGTTGTGAATGGCTGTGGAGTAGCTATAAACTCACTCAGGACTGCTTGAGATCATTGATCTTAGTGCCTCTTCTCAGCCTCTAGATTACATGGATTGTTTTACCGGAAGGTCTTCATGGGACTCTCGAAATGATGGAATGGAGTCTTTTTGTAGATGCTTGTAAATTGAAATTGAAGTACGGTTATTTCAAATAATGTTATATTCCATGTTTGTAAACTAGAGTTTTAAATATCTATGTTGATAGGAACAATTATGATAGAAGTTGTTTGTTATTCTAAATGGAACTGATGGAAATGTACAGGATTTGTGTGTGTGTGTGTGTGTTTAGTGTAACTAAATTGAAAACATATTGGAATCAGGCATTTCAAATTTCAGGTTCTAAAAAAGTTGAGATTTGGGTCATTCTAGAATTAGAGAGGAGTTGACTCGAGAATTCCTCTATTTCTTCATGGAGCACAAGATTGTATTTGAAACTTGTAGATTTGTATAGTCTCTAGTCCAAAGCACAAAAGCAGTGCTGTAACATCTTATAAAGATCTGCAGTGGATCAAAACTGCTGCAAAAAATGTTACATAGTCCATAATTCGTATACAAGCTTACTAACAACAACCCCTTATGAAAAGCCAGTCTTCTCATTTTACGCCAGTTTCACTTATAAAACATCAGCACAACAAATGGACAAGTTTAGAGGAAAGTAAAAGAAACACCCGTTTGAATTGTGTATATATTTTTCATAATGCAGTAACTTCATTTTACAGCTGACCTCCGCTATGCCTACCTCCAACTATTTCAATAGAGAATCAGTACTGTTGCTATTGAGGGGAAGTCTGTTTAAATTGATATAGGATTGATTCATGGCAGGAATCTGATCCTGCATCTGCACGTGCAGGCTGTAGTCGAAAGCATTTGAAAGAATCATTGAAAAATGACATTTGTATTCTTTCTGTGAATTATTTATTATTTAGTTATTTGAAAAAGAAAATATCTGTGTCCTTTGCTTTTTGTCCATGTCTTTTGTTTATCAGTGCATATAAACTATTTTCTATTTGTGTGCTTTAAGTAATAAAACTTAATGCAACAATTAACTCACTTTGACTTTTTGTGACTTACTATTGCTCATGGGTAATCATCAAGTAATAGGTAGTGTAAGCAGTTTGATTCATTAAAATCAAACACAAGAGATGCAGTATTGTGTGAAGCATTTTGATTTTAGAGAAAGGGGGGAAAAAATATTTCTTAATAATTTGCTATTTTTTAATGTTAGAAGTATAGAAGCATTAAATGTGACAAAATGACATTTTCTCAAACAAAAGTAGTTTTTTTTATTCACCTATATTATCATTCAATTGTGCTAAAGAAAAAACATTTAAATTGGGGGTTCAATATTTTATACAATATATTAAAACGTATACAGTACCAGTCAAATTTTACTATTTTTAACATTACGTCTCTTATGCTCATCAAGCCTGCATTTATTTGATTTAAAAAAAAAAACAGAAAAACATTAATATTTTGAAATATTATTACAATTTAAAATAGTGGTTTTCTACTTATATATATATATATATATAAAATGTAATTTATCCCTGGGATGGCAAAGCTGAATTTTCAGCATCATTACTCCAGTCTTCAGTGTCACATGATCCTTCAGAAATCATTCTAATATGCTGATTTATTATCATCATTGTTGGAAACAGTTGTGCTGCGTAATATTTTTTAAGAATATACACTACCGTTCAAAAGTTTGGGGTCAGTAATTCTTTTCTTTCTTTTTTTGAAAGAAATTAATACTTTTATTCAGGATGCATTAAATTGATAAAAAGGGATAGTAAAGATTTATATCGTTGGAAAAGATTTCTATTTTGAATAAATGCTGTTCTTTTTTAAACTTTTTATTCATAGATGAATCCTGAAAAAAAGTATCACAGGTTCCAAAAAAATATTATGCAGCACAACTGTTTCCAAAATTGATAATAGTATCAAATCAGCATATTAGAATGATTTCTGAAGGATCATGTGACACTGAAGACTGGAGTGATGGCTAATGAAAATTAAGCTTTGCATCACAGAAATAAAGTATATTAAAATAGAAATATTAAATTGTAGGCTATATTAAATTGTAATAATATTTCACAATATTACTGTTTACTTCCGTATTTTTGATCAAATAAATGCAAGGTTGATGAGCATAAAATACTTTTTTCAAAAATATTAAAAAGAGTAATGTATCCAAACTTTTGACCGGTACTGTCTGTACATGTTGGGATCAAGGGGACATGAAAGTACTGCATACCAGGAATTACCAAAACCTCTTCCAAACAGCGGGTGGCAGTCATGAGCTGAAATCCTGTCGGATCCTCGCTGTGTCTGTTGGGGAAGAAATGCACAATCAGGCGTTCAAACAGCGGCGCTATGAACGAACAGACATGGATTCAGATATTAACTCAATTTCAGGTATTGTTATTATTATTATTTTGATTCAGTTTCTAAAGTTGGTGTGCATATGTTTTATAAATTATAAATAATTTGTTTAAACGTCTGTCTGATGAGTAACTATAGGCAAGTTCATTTTTGTTTACACTAAGTTACAGTCGTTATTCATATTCATTTGTTTATCTTCATTTTTGCAGGAGATCTTTTTTTTTTTGGGAGGACCTGTTCTTTTGAATACATTTTAAAAACTGTATAAGATAACAAATGAAATTTGTTTTTGAATAGTACATGTCTTTAAATGAACTTTTTAACAACAGAAGTTCTGTAGCTTGTGCTTTATAAATAAACATGTGCAGAGGTTTAGTTGATCTCAGTTTAGTCCCAGTATCAGGAAAGTAAAGCTAACATTGTGTATTGTGTTCTCCAGGCTCAGTGTCGCGGTTATGTGATGAGGCAAGGTCTGAGTTTGGTTCAGACTCAGTTTGAGGACATCGTGCGAGAGATTGATGGAGGATTGGATCACTTGCAGTGGAGAGGAAACATCATTCCCAAACCTCACTTTACTGACACTGTGAGCTTCTCTGTCATTACTCATTTCTCATACTGTCTACTGCTGTTTAAAAACTACATTTGTCACAGAAACTATGCCTTAAAGTTTCATTATCTTTCATTGTTTGTGTAATTTAGCTATCGAATGCATGATGCATCTCATCTGTTGATTAATTGATTGATTCATGTATGTCAGTCAGTATCAATATTCACATTGCATAATAATAGATTTTAATGCGTATAATGTAATCTATAGAAAAGCCTGTTGCTGCAGTATGAACGCTCCAGGTTTCAGTGCCATGATGACCATCAGGATGACTCTGAGAGGGAACAGAAGATAGAAAATGAGAACAGTGAGAAAACTCTCCCACAGTCTGAAATCCAGGTACCGGAGAGAGACGAAGCTCCTGAAACAGCCAGCAGAGACACTTCCACACCTGTGGACGAGAGAGGAGAGAATGTGGTCGGACAAAACCTGGCGGATTATTCTACTACAGTTTGCAATGCTGTGAATTCAGATGTTTGCCACAGCAGCTTATTTCAGACAGGTGCTATGAGAAGAGACTTTGGCAAAAAAAAAAAAAATACGCAGATTATTTAAAAAATAAAACAGCTGGACTTTATGTTTTTGTTTTTGGCAGGACCAAGTTTGCATTCAGTTTTGAAAGACACTGCACACACTCCTGAATCCCTGAAGCAGCAGCGGAGCACTTTGGCCATGGAGCTGCTGTGGATCCAGCAAGCCATCAGTAGCAGAAAGAAAGTGAGAAACGTTTATATTTTTTACCATTAATGTTTAATATATATAGTCTGAAAATGTATCTGCTCTGCTCCTTTGCAGTATCTCACCCTTAAACAGAGAATGGATGTGTCACACTGATACTGGACCAGGTCTGAGGTGGACCAACATTTTGAGAGATGTTTTTCTAATTTCTTTGTAACATTTACAGCACATTTACAGAATGTTTAAGAATTGTTGTAAATCATGTTCATTTATAAGTTTGTTTTGTCCATAAATGTGTCTGTGTTAAAGAAGAGATTGTATTTTTGTATAAATTACATTTCAGAAATAAATATAACTTGCACATATGAGATGGGAGAGATATTTTTTTTCCTGTATCACAATTAAGCCGTTAATGTTTAATTCTGAAAGGACCATTCTCTCCATTATCCAAGTTTTTGGATAAAACTTCTTCAGGGCACTAAATACATACAATGTTATGTATATTTATACATGTATATGTATAGTAGTATCACTAGTATGCTATTAATTTTAAACAGTTTAGCAGCTTGCTTAGAAGTGGGCAGTGTGTGAGAATTTTTTAACCCTGTAATTTATTTGCATCTATTGTACAGATTCTTTATATCTCAAAATATAACCAGTATTATAGCCCAGCGATAAATTTAAAGTTGGATTTATAGTGGTCTACATTACGATTTAACCGCACTCATATAAATGATATACTGACACAATAAATAGCAAATCTTTGAAAAAATCGTGATTTTTTTTATCGTCACAAAACGTAAACTATATTACAGATAATAAAAGTTGAATATATCTATCTTTATCCACGTATACACTCACGTAAAGCTGTATACATTATAGCAGATGTCGTTCTGCTTGATTGTTTATATCGTCGCAAAATGTAAACTATTTTATCGCCCATCTCTAATCTAAACCCGACTATAAAAGGCATGAAAATATATATGGTAGCCTATAAACGTTAACTTCATTATTTGACTTAACTTCACATTTCAGGGTTGCTGTTTTATATTTATTGGAAATGATAAACGAAAGGCAGTTTTTCTTCATTATCACTCCACGGAGGTTATTTACGTCACTGTGTGTA